TTCCTAGCTGCACACAAAATGAAAACATCTTGCTTGTAACATTCCTTTTAGCAAGCATTTAACAAGAGTCTCCAGATTATAATCAAGCTTCTAACTGAAAGAATAAATGCTGACTCCTATTTATATGAAAAGCAGGATAAGTCAACCAATTCTAAATGTTCTGCTGTTCACTGCCAATTACATTAAATTCATATTCTTAGTTAAATATATAAAAATTTTAAAATATTTTCAACTGTTTACAGTATCAATCCAAACAAAAATACTAGTACATTAGAAGACCAGATTTTAAAATGACAAACAAAGTGGCATTATGTAGACCCAAAAGCATACACTGAAGTTTTAATTTGTTCAGTGGTACAATTTAATATACTTGTAACCTCAGGTAACAGATTCCCGATTTATTTGCCATAATTCTATTGATAAAGGCCTGTGGTCTTGCATGGCAGGCAATCCTTCCTAGGTTTAGCTGATATTTCTTCTGTTCTGAGCAGTGGTTTGATCAGAGGTCCTTTTCGGAGGTTCTCTAAGCACTCCCTGGCACTTAACTCTTACTAGGCCCAATTCTATTATTTTTCTACAAATGACATCTGGCTGAGATCTACAACAGAACCTTTTGTGTAACTTTTCTTTTTCAGCACATAAATATTGTGTTTCTATTGCTTTGCAAAGAATAAATATCTTTATAAGAGAGTTTACTTATGTTGACATTCAGCACCTCCCACACCTTACAAAATGGAAGAATAATTATGTGATTCTAGTGATCTATCAAAGACTGATGAGCCACAATAATAGTTTTAATAACTGACCAGCAATCCAAGGCTTGAATTACTAATGTACACTTTTCAAGTTTTAAAGTTCATCACTAGAAATGTGCCTAAAACTGCCAGGAGGAGAGTCCTATTGTGACAGACAAACTTAATGCATGCTGCAAAGGGCTGACAATCCACTCATCATTTGTCTGTTCATGAAAAACACAAGAGACTGTATTACAGACTGATACAATTCTGATCTCTGCTCTAATGTTTGGCCTACTCACTCCTAATAAATTCCACAGAGAAGCCCAAAAACTGTTTGAAAACAGTCTGCAAATAAATAGAATTATTTTTGTTAGTCATTCAGTACTGAAGTACTACTAATTTCCTTATGGATAAAGTAAACATAAAGCTTCAAGTTTCACTGGCAATCCTGTCATTTAAAAACAGGAAAAAAAATAGGACAAATCCCCCCACCACTGCAAACCATCCAGCTGGTGATCCTGATAGCTACAGACTACAGTTAACTGATAGTGATGTAAACTCCTTATGCCAGCTTGCTTAAGCACAGAAGCACAAATGCACATAATTAAGATCTGATGTTTGCTTTTTTCCTCCAAACACAAATGCAGTATTTGTGTTTGAGCACTGGCAGTAACAACTGTGAACTATGCTATTAATGTCTGATTTAAAAATGCTTGTGGCAGAATTCTGCCTAGAGGAACAAAAATAAAATGCATTCAGACAAAGCAACAGTGAAAAGTGCATTAAGAAAATTAAAAGCAGTGATTACAGAAGAAAATAATGTATTCTCCTCTCAGAAAGTTATTTATGTATAACATTTCTTAAAATGGTTCCAAACACTGCCATTCTCAATAAAAGCTAAATTTCTGAGAGGATATATTTTTAAAGTATATGGGAATTCTTGTTTTATTAAAAGGGAGAAATATAGTTCAGTACCCTTGTTGCTTATTTTCCTCAAGCATTTTTCAGGTTAACTAAATTGGTACTAAACGGTCCAGGAACCTAGATGCATTTATAATTTTATTTATTAACTCAGGTTTAAGAATTTGTATCTTAAAAAAATACATCACAGAACTGAGGCTTCTTAACTTCAGTAAGGGACACAATGAAAACTATCTTCAGTTTAAAGAATTTCACACCAAACTGAGGCATCCATTTACTAGACAGTCTTCCAAGATGATCTCTGGCTCTAAATCAGTATCTGAAGATGCATTTTTTTCACTGAAGATCCATGGATTTCAGCTCTCTGTTGTGTCTATAGTAGGACTGTAGGAAATTGTCCTCTCACCTGTTCCTATTGAAGAGTTCTGTAGTTTGGTACTGCTGTATAAAACCATCCTACAGCTTAGTCTTTTTTCAGAGATATGCGCAAAAAAAAAATTCTGGCAATTATTTTTCTGAACTTTTAAGACCATACAAGGCCGAACACAGTCAAAGTAGAGGCTTTGGAAAACCACGACCCAGGTAGGCAGAAAACATCCACCCTGTTATTGTCTCACTGTGTGGGGGTTTTCAGCAGCCACTTCTGCCAAAGCATCCTGCCAAAATTTGTCAATTCATATTGCCATCAGTCACATTGCTTCCACTGGTAGATTTAACAAAAACAAGTTTTCCTAAGGTAGCACCAAGTGAATATTGATAATCAGTTAAGGAGAGGGTATTTTTTTGTTTGGTGATATGGGATTTTTTTAATGTTCTTTTGATTTGTGGGATTAGTTGGCTCTTTCTCGGAAAAACACAAAGGGCAAATCTATATCAGTTAGAAACGCTGAATGGCACTGGGTATTCTGAAGATGGACTTTTATTCCAAATGCAGCTGAGTGAAGTTACAGGAACCTCCTGATAGAACAAAACATCATTCTGCATGTACATCACATGGCCTTAGAACAACAAGTAAGAAGATTAGAGAAGATTTCACTTCAGGTCAACAAGGCCTGCAATATGCTTTTCAGTCTTAGGTTTCACATGTGCTTGGTTGAGATGAATTAGAAAATTACAGAATGGCTGAAGCTGGAAGAGATATTCTGAGACATCTGGACCAAGTCACCTTCTGATAGCAGGTTCAGCTTGGGCAGATGGCTCAGGACATCTGAATATCTCCAAGTATGGAGACCTGGCCCAGTGTTTCACCACCTTTACAGTAAAGAAGTATTTCCTTTTATTTAAATGTAGCTTCCTGTACATCAGACAAGTGGGAAATAAGCCTCACCTTCTAATCACAGAAGTTCCTTCTGGGACAAGAGGAATATTAAAACTCCATAGGAGTATTAAAAAAAAAAATAGATACATTCTTAGCAAATCAAAAGGAATTTCTTTACTTAAAACAGATTGTTATAGGCATCATCTGGAGATGTACTTACCACTGCAACTTGACTACTTTTGTGCTCTAGAGGAATAAAAATTTGAGATTTCTAGTATGCAGTAAATAGCAAAAACTTCAATTCACCATATTGCACAAGCACATATATAATTTTATGCCTGCATATGAAAATAAGTATTTTGATAAAGCTGAACAAAAGAAGGTGCTTAAATGCTTCAATTAGTAATAATTTAAGTTAGCGATACCTTTTCTTACAGCCTTACATGTATTACATGTGCTAAAATCTTCCAAGTCTATGTACAAGTAAAAGGGATATTCCTCATCCACAGAAGCACTGACCGTGACAGGATTATTTGCATTAAGAGCAATGAAGAATTGCCTGATACTATAAAGTAACAAACATTGCCTGTGACATACTTTCCATTGTCATTACATATGGGAGAATATAACTGGAAGCTGTAGAGTCTGTATCCACTGGGTATCATATGGCTAATTCTGTCCTTTATTTCATATAAACATACTGTATTTGAGTAATTTTTTTTTTTTTTAGATCAGCATCCCATAAACAAATGAGCTAGCACAGAGTCATGAGCTTATGTAGTACTCTTCTAAGAAAATACTGTTCTCTAACAAACAAGTAATTTCAAGTTGAGTACCTACTTGCCTACTATATGTGTAAGGTACATGAAAGCATCATCTCAAACCATTTTTGGAAGGAAAAGCTAAATTGGATACGGTATAAATTCCAGAAACCCATGGTGCAAGGATACAGACTTCAGCCAAATTCTGACCTTATTTCTGTGCATGTGGCAATCCAAGTTAAAAAAAAAGGAATGGCAGAAGTTAGGCTCATGTTGAATGCATTGCAATATACCCATCTACAAAGCCAGAATATTCTAAGGAAAAGAAGAAAGAAGGGAAATTGGGATACAAGCACACACAAGCCAAATTTTCACTGCCAAACCTCAGACTGCAGAAATGATTAGGGGACTGAGCTTTGTCAAATTCTTTAAGCAAAAAAAATCCCCTTTTATTACACTCCTTGGGCCACTGTGCGTTCTTTTAAATCTCAAACAGATTTTCTAATTTATATTGATTTACACCAGGCATCACAGAGCTTCCTTAAATCCCAAGTTTTTTGTAAACTTAGATAAACTCCAAAGCACAGAAACTTGTAATTGTTCAACTCGTCATGAACAGCAGAACTACCTATATTTTTTTAGGGACTCCTGCCCTTTGCTCATAATTTTTCTATTAAAGTAATTCCAGTCCTTTCTGCTCACTGTATCTTCTGAGCACTGGAGCAGGACAGAGACAGCACATGCATGCTCCAGTGTGACTCTGCACACAGAGTCACCATACTGAACTTTCAGCCCATTATGTTCAAACATGCTGTATAAAAGCTGAATTCCCCCAGCTTTTGGTCAGTAGAGGCATTAATTTGAATAATCCTAATCTATTAATTCATCAATTCTCCTAATCCTTCCACATTACTTGCTCTGCAAGTTCTACTCTTCACTTACAGCAGCCAGCAGAGTAATTGAAAATGACTGATAGAAAAGTATTAGAAAGGTAGATAGAATCAAGATTAAACAAAACGAATTTCCACAGGGAAACAGAAAAGAGAAAAGGGTATTTTAAACAGTACAGTATTTTCCAAATACTTTATACACTCTGATTTTCTCAGCACTAAAAAAGCTGAGATCCTATATCCTGTTTTTCAGCAGCTTCTCCACACAGCTGACATAAAAGAAACATGGATTTACTTCTCATGCTGAGAAGTAAATTATTCTTTTATTCTCACTTTCATACAACTCAGTAAATTGCCCAGAGAGTGATTTATTCTCCGCTATGATCTCCTGAATATCTTATACCCACACAAAAGATGGATGCTGGCAGGCAGAGCTGTCAGTAGGAATTTCAGCAGAAGTAAATTGTTTATTACTTACAATGCAGCATAATAGCTGTAATTTCATTTGAACTGTTGCCACTAATAGAACTACAAGCCAAGACCTAGGCGTTCATCACTGTGCAGCCGCTGAGATTCCTCTGTGCACACTTCACCGCAGATGCAGGTAGCTCTGTCCTGGAAGTGTTATTGTACCTGAAAGAACGACAAGCCAGGCCTGGCACTTTCTCTCTGTAGTGAAAGACACAGGTGAATATCAGCTGCTAAGGAGTTTCCCATCAGTATTTCACAGGTGCTTTCACAGCTATTCCGATCCTCTGCCAAAATGCAAACTAGCAATTTCAACACATATGCATTGAAAAATGTTTAAAAGGAAACTAAAATATAATACACAGATACTCAAATATGTGTACATATACACTGCACATTAGTTGGGCAGGAAGCATGTTTTTCTGTAGCATGTTCTTCTGAAATATTACATCTCCTACGTATGAAGACATAGAAATTCAAATACCTTAAATACTTGGCTAAAGATCATATCAGCAGATAGTTGTTCTTCACCTAGACTTTTGGTGAAGCGCCTATTAAAATGCTGTCTTTTACGTGCTATGGCTAAAACAAACTACAGGTTGTTTTCTTGGTCTAAAAAAATGTATACAACCTGAATTATATTCTATGCTGTTTATATATGCCCTGAATGGAAGATCAGGATTAGCATACATGCTATAAAGGCAATGAAACACAGCCAATTTCAGAAAAAGTGCTTTGCATATAGTAAAAACAACTTTTGCTGTGTATCCTTTCTACTCAGAAACTGCAGATTTGTCTGCCTCCAACAGGTTAAACGAATTAACCACCCTGCAGGCAGCCCCAAGGGTCTATATGGGAACTCAGACTCTGAAGAGGTGAATAAGCCATTAGTTCTCTCCAGAGGAATTAGCTTTTATATACGTGTCTCTCATCACTGCTAATCTACCATAATACAGATTCTTTCTGCCAAACCCCCTGAAATGTATGAGCAAACATCCACAAAATCTGGAAAAACGCTATACATTTCACTTCCCTATCCTACCTACAGGAGGGAAAAATGAGCAGTGAACTGCACATGCAGGACAGGCTGTTCTACTGGCAATTCAGAGGTCAGCTCATGACTGATCTTGTGTATGAAAACTGTGAGGGCTGCTGTGGGGAAAGAAGAGCGGATGTGGTAAAAGAAGCAGCATGTAAAAAGAAAAGGCCTTTCCTTTTCCAATAATAGAGAGCATAGCAAGCAGAGAATTAGTAAATAGAAGACTGGAGACATGAAGCCTCACAGACAAAAGGACAAACATGACGGCTGGCAAGGCCTCTCAAAAATACAGTATTTCGTGCCTCCATTGGGCGATATGTGTAAGGATTAATACACTCAGTTACCGAATCTACTTGCATATTGCAACAGTCACATGACAAAGATTGGAAGAAAACTTAGAGCAATCAGTCACCATTAAAATTTATAATATATCACAGAAGATTTCTTTGATTTCTTTGAGAGTAGGAATAAATTGGTGCTTTCTATTTCAAGTGGGGAAAACAGATCATGTACACCATTATTTCGTATAATCAAAAGAAAGTCCATTCTCCAATTTTGGTCATGGTGTGTGTCTGAATTCTGACTAAGATACAGACTAATTTCCATGTTCTTCCATAAGGTTCATGGAGCATTTTGGATGAAGATGAAAGCCTGTCTACAGCCTTATGTATTAGCTATAGTTACTTGGACCCAGTTGCATCATGAACACACTAAGGTTAAGTAAGTATTTCTGGGCAGAAGTACCAGCATCGCCTTTGGTTACTGTAACTATCCCCACAATGGGAATAATGCCTGTAAACCCTTCTGGGCAAGCTAATCTCTCATCTCCAGAAACAACTGGAGAGAATATAGCCCACGGGAGGAGAAGAGCACCAATTTTTCTTCACAGTACTGACAGTAATTATTCATGTTTCTCAACAATAATTACTAAATCGAAAACTTTCTTTCGCCTGACCACTTCTTTCCAGTGGATCCCTGCTTTTTTGTCAGGTATCAATAATTGTAATAGAGCTGCGCCTATGTAAACAAACCTTAGCAATCAAGGTCCAAATATACAGATTTTCAGAGCACAGCCATTTTCCTCTATTTATGTAGGCATTTTTTTAAATTACCTGCTTCATATGAGAAAAGCAGAGCACTAGTTTCTTCTTATGCATATGCATTTCGTAGATATTATCTAGTATTTATTCAGTAGAGTACCTAGTAGGGAACAGAAGTGAGAATGTTTCATTAGTCCACCTAATTAAGTTTTAGTGTCAGCACGGACATGAATTGCTCAAAATTGGACTGTGAAAATCTTCCTGCATTAACTGAAATAAACAGTTAAATGAAGGAGCTAGAGATTTTTTTCCTAAATAATTTTGCACCATTAACAGAGGCATTGTGAAAGTTTCCACTACAAACATAGCCTTAGGGCTTGCTCACAGAGAAAAAAGGTCTAGAACACATTGTACAACAATATCTCCAAAATTCAAACCAGGAGAAAGGGGACGTGCTTGGGGAAACTCCGAAGCGAACACCTGAATGTTTTTATCGGCGCTGATACGGACTTTTCAAATCGCGCCGCACAGCGCCATCTTCAGGCGACCAAAATTTGGATTTTTCCTGGTCTTCGCGAAAAAAGCTGTAACCATATCAAATCTAACATTCATACAAAAATGTTACTAGAGATAAGATTTTAAAAAAAGCTATTTTAATAAAAAACTATAAAACTTAAATCACCAAACTTTTAAATTTATCTCTGCTATTCCAATAAATGTGAATAAGCCACTCTCAAGTATTTTGCTGGTTTCTAGCTTGCTACACTAACAAATAACCTTAATGTCACCATATTTCCTTGTTGAATTTTCCAACAAGAAGAAATCAGTTAGTAGTGTGATTACTTGATTAAGCAATTAGTGTTTCATTGATTCTCCTTTCTTGAGCTCCTCAGCTGACAGGAGACAGGCTTGGTATTCAGTAGTTTTGTAGGTTTGCATACAAGTGTTTTTAAGTAGATTAAGAAGATAGAATCAAAGAAAAATATGAGATATCAAAATTCTAGAAAAGAGAACGTTGAATGCTTAGAAATAAACTAAAGGCTATGTTGCCTCGCTTTGTTTGCGGTGTAAAATACGAAGTTCTCACCAGTACACGTGAAAGCTTTTCTTCCAATGCAGCAGAACTAGTGTAACCAAAGCCACTTTTTGTATTTTTTTAAATACAACCAGCACTTTTTGGAGACCGGTTTGGAAATAAACGGCTCTACGTGGAGCGCCAGAGCCCTCCCAGTGCTGCAAGTTCCGCAGCCGCACGCCGAGGCCGCTCGCCACGGCTCCCTCAGGAGCCCCGGGCTCAGGGCGGCGCGAGCGCACCTGCTCCCTCACGGCCCCGCGCGCTTCCCGCCGCCGCCCTGGTAACGGCTTCGTGACGTCATCGCGGCGCGGGCGCACGTGCGACGCCCCCTGCCGGGTCTCTCCCGAGAGGGCCGCGGGCGGGCGGTGCCGGGGGCGGTGCCGATGGGCAGTGCCGGGGGCGGTGCCAGTGGGGGTACCGGGGGCGGTGCCGATGGGCGGTTCCGGGGGCGGTGCCAGTGGGGGGTACCGGGGGCGGTGCCGATGGGCGGTTCCGGGGCGGTGCGATGGGCGGTGCGGCGCGCGGGCGGTGCGGTGCTCGGGCGGTGCGCAGGCGCGGCGTGCGGGCGGGCGGTGCGCGGAGCGGCGCTCCCATGAGCCGGTGCTGCCGCTCGGCCGCCGCCGCGCTGCTGCGGGGGGTCGCCGGCCCCGCCGCGCTGTGCCTGGGCAGCGCCATGAGCCTCTGCGGGGCGCCGGCCGCCTGCGCCGCGGGGCCTGCGGGCGGTGGCGGGGCGTTGTCCGCGGCGCGGCTGAGCCCGCCGTGGCTGCGGCTGCCCGAGGTGCCGGGCGCCGAGCCGCACCGCACCAACGAGCTGCTGCTGCTGCCGCCGCCGGCCCCGCGCGGCCCGGCCCCGTCGCCGCAGCACCACGTCGTGTACTTCCCGGGGGACGTGCAGGTACGGCGCGCGGGTGCGGGCGGCCGGCGATGGGGGCCCGGGCGGAGGAGCGGCGCTGGGCGGGAAGCGGCGCCGGACGGACGCGTCCCCGGAAGGGCTGCGCGGGTGGGCATTGCCCGGCTCCCGCCGCGGCCGTCGGGGCACCTCGCTGCCCCGCACGGTGGGGCACAGGGAGCGGGAACGGGCCCTCCGGAAACCTCCGCTGGAGCAGGATGGGAGGGGAGCGGAGGGGAGGTGAGCCGTCTTCACAGAATCACTTAGGTTGTTGGGTTGGAGATCATCGAGTCCAACCTGTGACCAACACCACCAAGTCCGCGAGACCCTGGCGCTAAGTGCCATGTCCAGGCTTTCCTTCAACACCTCCAGGAACGGTGACTCCACCACCTCCTGGGCAATCCATTACAATATCTAATCACCCTTTCTGTGAAGGGTGCTTCCTAATGCCCAACCTAAACTTCCCCTAGTACGACCTAAAACTGTGTCGTCTTGTCGCCTGGAAGACACCGACCCCATCTGGCTACAGCTCCGTTCAGGCACTTAGAGGGAGCAATAAGGGCTCCCCCTGAACCTGCTCTTCTCCAGGCTGAACACCCCCAGCTCCCTCAGCTGCTCCTCACAAGACTTGTGCTCCAGCAGCTCCATTGCCCTTCTCTCGACTCACTCCAGCCCTATAGCACTGCCTGAGGGTGACAGTGACAGGGATGGCAGTGTCTGAAAGCATGGCAGACAATGGAGACAAGACAACAAAACCCTAAGGTGCCCGGTTGTTCTCCCCAGGCAGAGCACCGTGCAGGTGTATGGACATCCCAGACTCTGCCCTTTGGGGATTCCACAGGCTCTGACGCTTTCTCAGCCTGTCCTGAGAAGGCACCTGTGGTCTCTTGAGTTGGTAAGAAATTGCAGAGACTCTGAAGTGCCCAGGCATAGGGTTTGACCTGCCTAACATAACATGTTCTGGTAGCCAGCTAATCCCAATTGTCATTACTGCTTCTCAAAAGCCTTCTTCTTCAAGGGAAAAGGCTTTTCCTTCTGTCAAGTAAAGATGCAGAATTTTGTGTGTTTTTATTTTAAGGATTGGGATGGCCTATGAAGACTTGTCTGATTGACATTCTTGCATATGGCTTCATTATTCCTTAGTAAAATAAATGAACTAGTATTCTTTGCCATTAAGATTTCAGACAGGAGGTTCATTCATGACTTGGGGGTTAATTTCTTTCCATCTATGCCCTCTCTGGATGTGAATAAGGCAATAAAAATTTCTGGATATTTTTGTTTCTGTATAAAATAAAGAAAACGTGCTACAAAGTTTTAAGTCTGTTTTTGTTTTGTCAGATAATCAGTATTTCTGTAGATAGAGATAATACAATAAAATTATGTATTCTGTGTCATACTAAGTTGAATAATACTTTAATTTTCTTTTTGTGTGAAGTCGACAAAAATTATGAATATTTTCATGTGCTGACTTTATTGTATTGATCTTGGGGACATTAAAAATATATGATAAAAAATATTACAGTAAGCAAGTCAAAATATACCAGTTTCTTTTATGTGCTTCTTATTCTGCAAAACTTAAAAAGTGGGAGGCTCTAATGCATGGTTTTTTGGTTTGTTTTTTTTTTTTTTACAGTCCTTCTTTATAAATATTAATACATTGGAGCTGAATCTTTTCACAATGTAGTAATGCATCTTTTCTATTTTTTTAATTTTTCAGAACTATCATGACATCATGTCTTGCCACCCAGAAAACTTTCAGTGGGAGCACTGGAGTTTTGAAAATATTGCTACTATACTTGCTCGCCGGTTCCCCAATAGCTTTATTTGGGTGATAAAGTGTTCTCGAATGCACCTGCACAAATTCAGTTGTTATGACAATTTTGTGACGAGTAACATGTTTGGAGCACCAGAGCACAGCACTGACTTTGGAGCTTTCAAGCATCTCCATGCTTTGCTGGTTAATGCATTCAGACTCTCTCAGAATATTCTGCTGTCCCAGAAAAGTGTGCATGGTGTCAGCAAGGATGCAAAAATAGCTGCTTGTAAATCACAGCCGCAGTCTGTTCCTACAACAAATGGCTGCTCACCCAAAGGAAGGGAGAGAGATTGTGAATGCTCTAATAATTCTGCTGTGAACGTCATGGTACCGACTGCTGTAGGTGCAGCATCCTTTACTTTGATTGGCTTCAGCAAAGGTTGTGTGGTTTTGAACCAGCTGCTTTATGAGCTGAAGGAAGCCAAAAAAGACAAGAATACAGATGCCTTCTTAAAAAACATAAAAGCAATTTACTGGCTGGATGGTGGTCACTCAGGAGGAAGCAACACTTGGGTTACTTACCCTGAAATGCTGAAAGAACTTGCAGAGACAGGAATTAAAGTTCACGCTCACGTTACACCGTACCAAGTGTTTGACACAATGAGGTCATGGATTGGGAGAGAGCACGAGAAATTTGTACAGATACTTGAAGAATTTGGTGTGGAAATAAATGATCAACTGCATTTTGCTGATGAAGTTCCCTCCTTAGACAACCATTTCAGAGTTCATGAAGTATTTTGAGACTGTATGTATATGAACAGTATATCCTTTGCAGAAGCACTTTTAACACTGTTGTCATCTAGATTTTCAGCTTTGAGCAGATGCTTTCTAAGCAGAATACTAAATCAGTTCTGTGTTGCTAATAGATACTATATATAAATTTCTGTAGCTCAAAAAGACTTATTGGGACCCCATAACTGTAACAGATGTTGTTTTTTGATTCCTGGAAAAAAGTGTTATGAAGAACAATTCTAGGCACGTTTTTTTGTTAAAAGTGAATGTTTATTCTTAAACTGTTGGCAGAATTTTTAGTCCTGGATGTCTAATATCAATAACTGCATGTAATGGGACTTTAAAGTATTTGGGAATTTCAGATGTGTAGATACTTCAGCTGAGTGGCTTCCAGGGCTAAAACTATTGCTCTTTGTCAATAATAGATGTAAGGTTAGGTTTTTTTTGTTTACGGAAATTGATTTTAAGAAGAATGTTAGTTATATATTTTGCAGAGACCTGTTTTATTAGGTAATTAAATCTTCCAGTTTTGTAATGTCTCCTGTTTGAAACAAAGTCACAAACACTCACCTTTGGAATAATAGTGCCAATGCATTTCTCTTCCTAATGTGCGCCTTGCCATTTCTGTCACTCTAAAGTTTAATTAATTAATTGTGTAGTATCTGCTAGTGAACAGCCATTTCACCTGGGGGCTTGAAAATTTTGAAGTAGGTATGTTAATGAGGAATGTTGATTAGAGTGTAGCTTGTTCGTGTTTCAAGATACCTTGCTGTTGCTTTGCTAACTTCTGTAAGGACCAGCAGTAATTCCTTTATTATCACATCAAGAGGTGAAATTCCTACCTTGGGATGGCAAGATTTTACTTGGTAATTACTGCATTGATGTTGTTCTTAATCAAGTCATAAAAGTTGCATTTAAAAAATTCAGACTATGTTGACTGTAACTCTTTCAAAATGCCTCAGTTTTAAAATCTATTATTTCCTTTAAATGCACTGCAATAGTTGCTTCTAGAGCCATCCAAAAATCTTATTTTTGGAGCCTAATTTTTCCTACAGAAAAAAAAAAAAAAACAAAACCTCTAAATAGAAAGCCAGCCAGATTTGATGCAAAAGATGTAATCTGGTTCAGACACCAAACCTGAGAGTTTTTAAGAAAGAAATACTGAAAGATGGACAATGATGGTATTAATTGAACTTTTCTACTGTTGTAAGTAACTTCCCATTTAGCTACAAAGCTTAGACTCATTCTTAAAGACAACTGCAGTTACTAACAATGAACCAGTAACTCCAAATGGTTTTGGATTTCCTGGAAGTATAGGAATACAAAAGTAAGTTAGCAAAACACTGAAGATTACACAAACAGTAGTGGCTAAGTTCTGAAAAAAGGCATTTTATTCAACTTTGGTTCTATGTTTGATGGCTTAGTGACATCTCTGCCCTGCTCCTTGATTCCTGTGACCCTTACACTGTGGAAAGGAAGTTTCTTCTGTTGGCATCATTAAAACTTACAAGGTTTCCTATAGACAACTTTTGAGAGAAATTGTTCACATCAGTGATCACTGAATAATGAGAAAAGTGTGTTGTACTCACTAAGAAAATTTTCTTGACACTCAAAATATTGAGGGTGATAGAAAGGATTATGCATACAGTGTGCACCTTACAATTTGAAAG